AACTTGGTGGGGGTGGAGGGGGAGGTGGTGGGGGTGATGGTGGAGTCATATGTTCCAGTTCATCCGGAGTTGCCTGATGGAGAACAACGTAAAAATTCGGGAAACACTTAACGGATCAGGAAATGAAATACAAGTTGAAAGTTCAAATTACAGAGGCAAAGGGACCATGACAAGTCTGTCAAAGTGTCTGCTCATGTGTACTTGTTACGCGAAACTGTATTCCCTGCTTCATTTTTCCGTCATTTGCATGTCGATTTCACGTAATATAAACTGCGATACAACCAGATGTAAGATACTTGTATCCGATAAATTGGCGGCTTTCCTAAACCTGTTCTGTCAGCACCCAGTTGTTTGGTCCCAGTTTCACACTTCTTGAAAATAACCTGGAATGCTTATTGGGCGACCGAACCAGCGGCTTGACAAACTCATTTACAGGAAGTGGGACAGCAGATTACTGCTTATCGGCCCACTTGTTATCCGAATTAAGTAAACGCTATTACTTGCGATCTCATTCGACACTCATCCACGGAGGTTTAATGAAGCCATTAAGGAAGTTTGTTTTACTTCGACATTATTGCTACATTGGACGGATTTTTTTCTTGAACGAACTTTACCCGTTCAAGGTTTTCTTGTAAGACAGATTGAGAGTCCTGAGCTCAGCCACGACGCAAAACTCAACATTTCCTGAAGATTTGTTCAATCCATGTATCAAATTTAGCGACCCATCTGGTGGAAACATGTCGAAAGTCAGGAGGATCGTTTTAATTGTGGATTTTCTGATTGAGTGATGTTACGCCATTTTAATGTCCTTTGGCAGTAGCTATCATCTTTTTTGCAACAATATTTCCGTATTTTGGGTACAGGTTCTTCGTATCGTACATGCCATGCACAAGCACTGCTACCTGGGTTACGAGAAACGAGGTCATTCAAGGGAATCTCTGGTGGAAGTGGCTGTTGCCACTACGTATAATCTCGGCCTTTCACCATGGCGATTTTGGCTAGCCAATCCGGGAGCTGACGTTTTTTCGTGATTTTTCAAACTACTCATAAGTAGATGGATTTATCTGAGAGCTCACTTACCATGTTACCATTTGGCGATTCAGTAACGTCGATTTTGCCTTCTAGTGAGTAAAATTAAAGCAAGCAAGAGTAGTACCAAACGAAGCTGTCCGTTTACTTGAGTCGTATTACGCTTCACTTCTACCGACATCTCGCAAAACATTCGTTGGACATCATTCAATAGAACCAGCAACATCCGGACCAAGCTTTACTAGGACTGTGGTGAATGTATAACAGAGGTCTGCTAAATGTGAACTAAACGAGAGGTAGCTGTGAGAAGGAAATGAGGTTATTTGAACTGGCCTCTATTTATCATCACAAATCAAGTAATCAACGGGTCACGTGGCGGATATCGCCGTATCCGTCTGAGGAGTTCCAATGAGAGCCTCATGCCGGTAAGCTTTTCGGGATTCGATCGCACTGTGTTGATTTGGACGTTCGGAAAAATTCCAGGCATCAGACATCCTAGCCACTGTTTTTTTCGTATCATTGAATATTCGGGTAAAATTTTCAATGTTCACTGGTGATTGCATCTGTAAGACAACAGGTGTTTGGATAATAAATCACTCCTAAAATCACTGGCCGGCCGATTTGACAAGCAGAATCGTGGCTTGGGAGCTGTTGGTTAATCCTTCTGCACTCACCTGATTGGTAACGACTCACGCTTGGTTGGGCGCTTTGGGATATGGTCACACACCACTATGAATAACAGACTTACTATAGACGTACTGCACTACTCATAAGGATGCTGAAATCCTTTCGACAGCCAACGACCGGTTTCCTTCTTCTTGGTGCTATCAGGTAGGCGCAATCCGCGAGTTTCCGTCAACCTTATGTTCTGCTTGAACCGAAACTGTACGAAATTGGCGAAGTAGGCTCATTTCCTTACTAGTTTCGTGTTGTTGGGAGACTCATCTGAATCTCAACCTAATCTCTCGTTTGCGAAGTCGAAGAATCTTCAGCAACCTTACGAGTAGTGTATTGCTGGTATACAATATACCCGTACACTTCGAATATTGTACCGACTGAAACACAAGACGGTCTTTTACAGCACATTTTGTCACTTAAAAACGCCATAAACGAGAGATTTAGGAAAGTTCCGGGCGAGTCTCCAGTCAAAACCAAACTGGTATGCAAGTGAGTGTATTTCGCTAACAGACTAGCTAGTTCACGCCACGTTGCAAAATAGCGAGGTTAGAAAAAGTCGGATTTATTTAACAAAATATCCACGGTAGTGAGTATCACTAAAAACTACCGGGGTAAATCTCAAAAGTGGACACAGGAAGGGTCTGTGGGCTGAGTACTTGAATTGCTGGCCACAGGTAAGATCCTGAGTGAAAGTTTCTAATGACACTGGAAGATTTCACGGAATACCCGCTAATCAAAAATGATACGGGCTAACGGATCTACACTGGATCTAATATTTGACTGGTAGAAACCGGTTCTTAGTTCACATCTTGGATTACTTGAGATGATTCTATAATTTTTGCTGAAATTCACAAATTCCTAGGCTTTCTTGGACAGATCCGGGGTGATGAGTTGTAAAGCCGAAACAAGTCCAAATAAGGAAATATCAGAAACGACGATTGCAGTTGAATGTGATTAAGAATACAAGCCCCATGAAAGAACTTTTTTATAGACAATTTTGTAAAAGACTGTCCAAAACATTCAGTCAGTCCTGAAGAAAAAAACCTCACGATCTTTCCCCAACCGTCAAAAGTGAGCAAACTTTTCCACCGGAGAATCGAAATGAGGTTTATTCACTTTATTGTTCATTAAAAGATGACAGACACGTTGCCCGAATCCCAAAATTGGCTAAATAAAAATCCAAGCTGTTCTTACAATCTTCTCTTTGCTTCAGATCAAATAACAAATGTTCTACACATGGGTATAAAATTACTTTATCCCATGATATTCCTCTTTTTTGCCATACACTTACTTGTAATACGGTTTTGGTAAAAAGAAGATGCATACTACACCTTGTCTACCATTTATTAATTCGGCCTGAAGCAATATCTCCAAGGGTGGGCCTGGGGAATAGTTACTATCATTTTGCGAACCAACTATTTGAAACAGCAACAATTCATGTGATAATGTTCATGGTATAATGTTTCATGATATAAACATTCAAAAGTTATCCCTAACACTCGTCGCATTTTCCATTTTCGCTAAGTTCTGTAGCGCCGACTGTTTTGATGCAAACAGTGGGGTTTAAGCGAGCCATATTAAGCAGTGGATATAAACACGAAGTTCACACAGTGGAACCTCATGATATCTATGTAGTTGAGTGTGCCATCCAGAAAAATATAGGCTAACGTGTATTTGGGAAACGTTTATCCGCGTCCTATCATGAGTCTACACCTGAATTGGGCAACTACTCTGCTGTTGACGTGCAACACTCATAAAGTTGCTAAAGACATTCTGATACCTCACTATCAGTTTTGTCCTTCTTTAAGCTCGCTGAGTTCTCCTAGTTTCCGAGTTTTCGTCAACCTTGTTTTCTAAGGGAACGCCAAGTTGTACGAAGCTGGCGTAGTATACTAACTGGAAAACCATTTTGGCATTAATGGAAGACTCGACTGGATCTCCCGTTTACGGTGTTTGTCAAACGAGAACGCCTCCTGAACAAGATCACATCGTGTTTCACTTGGTACAGTTTCCGAGATGTCACAGTCCATTTTCTCTGCTGAAAGTACTAGTAGTAAGACTGGTGAAAGCATTTCGACAGTCGAAGACTGGTTTTGCTCTTCTTGTGGCTCATCATATATAGGGCATCCAGTTGAACTACTCTTTAGCACCAATATAAATTGCGAATGAGTGTACTTCAAAATCCACTGCACTCGTTATTTAGACTAATTCTCTTAAGTCAATCCTGTGATTTCACTATTAAGACTCATAAATTTCCATAAAATTGCCTGGAGCAAACTGTTGCCCTCCTACTTCCACACTGGCGCATGCTCGACGAAGCGCACCTAAACGAGCTTTTCCTTGGCATGTGTTACTCCACAGTAACTTCCTCAGTGCTCTTCGTTTAAACTGTAGTCGTCCTAATAATTTCTTGACATATATTGAGACCAACAAACACGACGAACAGGCAAAGTGACTTCTGTAGGTAGCGAATAATTCATCTTTGTAAGTTTTCATCTGACAAACGCTTTGCTAGACAAGATCATATTCCTAGCGTTTCTGTCAGTTTGAACCTATCAATCCGAACTGTAACCCATGCAGCTCACTTGTCAACTCCACAACATCATCTGTAGCCCTTCTGTCCTCCCAGAATATACCAATAATCTCAAATGATCCTAGTATGCCTGTGCTACCAACCTACCTATTCAATAGTGTGTACATTTCAAAGTCGAATCGATTTTTCTAAATGTGGCTTGATCGACAGCATAACGCTCTCTCACTCGTATACGGTAGTATGCACCACCTGGCAATTAGGCTCTTACTCACATTTAAATCCAAACATTGATCTGCGGTCTATCTATCTATCTATCTATCTATCTATCTATCTATCTATCTATCTATCTATCTATCTATCTATCTATCTATCTATCTATCTATCTATCTATCTATCTATCTATCTATCTATCTATCTATCTATCTATCTATCTATCTATCTATCTATCTATCTATCTATCTATCTATCTATCTATCTATCTATCTATCTATCTATCTATCTATCTATCTATCTATCTATCTATCTATCTATCTATCTATCTATCTATCTATCTATCTATCTATCTATCTATCTATCTATCTATCTATCTATCTATCTATCTATCTATCTATCTATCTATCTATCTATCTATCTATTTATATATATATACTGATATGTATTGGAGGCGAACATCCACCCTTTACTACTTTCTTAAAGCACATTCTACTTATTTTGGTATCATTTTCAATGTCAGGAAATTTAAACTGAGTGAATGGCATCTGAACATAAAGCTGTCAGACGTAACAAGCGACTATAACCTCTTGATCCTGAGAATTTTCATTACAAGTTGAAAG